TATATAACATGTTTAGTTTTTTAATGTAGTTTTTGTATTTTCAGATTACATATGTGTTTAATTTAAACTGCCTAATAATTCTAATTGTGTTGTAAAGTATATTACAAAAGAGCAGCAATCTTTTGCTCTTCTCTATATATACCCCCTAGGGACAACTGTGCAGCTTTTTTCAATAGATCCTCTTGGAATTTACTTATATGTGACTACATGCCCTCTTTCAGTTGTTTACTTTTTCAGTTTTAGGCATTGCCTATTATTTCTCATTTTAAGAGATAAGAGTTTTACCCCTAACTTCTACTTTCCATCCTGTTAATGTAATTGATTTACATAGTGTGGTTACATTAGTATTCTGAGGTACATTATTTTCATGACTGTAAATGTTATTCATGGATGAGCTGCATAGCACATCAGGATTTTTTCTCCTTTTGTGTAAAACTTTGGTTTTAATACAATTGGTCATTTTCCTTTTTCTTTTTTTAGTTTCTTACATTTATTATGAATTATCCCCAAAGTCTTTGTCTGAGTCTCCTCTTAAATGTTTTTCACATCGGATATTCTGTCAGACTAATCAGTTTACAGAATTTTCTGAGATGCTTCTTTATGAACTGTTTATTTAAGTGCTACAGTTGGGCTGTTATTATTATGAATTTCATTAACCATAATGCTTACTTCTTGAGGCTCTTCTTCAATGTTGAAAAAGTTTGCCACTTACTAATAACACAAACAAAATGTTTTAGTTTTCAACTATAGAATCCATACTTTATTTTGAGTGTACTAAATTTTATGTTTTCCATTCTTCCTATTTTATAAATGAGTTCAAGCCAGTAAAAGAAATCTCTTGCTACTTCCTTAAGCTGTCACTAAATTTTTAATTATTTATCAGCAAGTAACCTTTTCATAAAAAGAATAATTTACGTTTCTGTTAAAGTTTGTGTTGTCTGTTATCCCTAACCTCCCATGAAGATGTTTTCCTATGATATATAGTTCATCCAAAAAGGTTAGCAGAGTCTGTATCTGATAAGGGTCTGAAGCATTTGTCATTCATATGAGCTATTATATGCCTTCAGGCTAAATATTATATAGGGAATGTTTTGCTGTTCGTGTGATATTGGTAGTGGGAATTGCACCCAGGCCCTTCTTACTGAGCTACATCCCCAGCCTTTTCTGAAAAAAGAAAATAAATTTTAAAAATTTTGAGACAGTCTTACTGGGTCACTTATTTGTTCAGGGGCTCAGTCTTTTGGTACTCTTGCCTCATCCCCCTAGAGGGTTGTAACTTTTAGTCTTACTGACCTGCCTGACCCATTACATAATGTTTTTTCTTACATGGAAAATAGTCCTTGTGTTCATCTTTAGAAGAGCAGAAATATGGAATCTTAGTCACAAGGAACATCAGAGATCATGTAGTCCTATTGCTTTCAGACATTTAAAAATCCTTTTTTCCAATAGAAAATACATGCATGTCCACATGTTTATGTATGTGAACTATGTATGTGTAATTGATCAAATTACAGTTACTGTAAAGAAAGGAGTTCAGATTTGACTTCGAACTTTTCTTCATTAGTATGTCAGCTCCTGAGAACACTCACTGAGCTCTTTGTACTACACAGTGTAGCTCTGGAACTGCTGATCTAAAGTATGCTTAGCTGTGTTCCAGATTGTAGTGATCTGATAATGAATATGACTGTATTATAGAACTTTCTAGTGTGAAACCCATAAATATAAGTAATAAGAAAATGAAAGTATGGTAAGGGGATAGGATGGAATGAGATAGGATTAGAAGTAGATAGATGGATGGAAGGAAGGGAGGGAGGAAGGAAGCTGGAATTAGAGTGGAGTCTTGAACTGAGTGAGAGAAAAAGCCATGGGGCATGGGGTGGTCTCTTGAAAGTATAAAGATTAAGGTCTTTGTGCTTGGGGAAATTAAGAAGGTTGTTGCTAGGCTCTGCATATTTTTGGTGCATGCAGAGAGCTGTACAGAGAGGTGAGGACTGGATCAACCAGCACCTCAGTAAGCCTTAGTAAGTGCTGTGGAGTGGATATAATTTGAGTGTATTCCCAAAGTTGCTGTTGAAGTTTAATTTCCATTGTGAAGTATTAAGTGGTTAGGAACTTAAGTCTGAGTATGATATTTAGAGGTGAGGCCTTTGGGAGGTGAGTAGGATTAAAGTGATTAGGGTAGAGCCCCCACATGATTGAATATGAGGGACTTTTTAAGAACAGGAAAGAGACCAAAGAGAGACAGAAACAGATACACAAGCATCCACACTCATTTTTCCTATTGCTTACCGTGTGATGCTCCACACTGCCTCACGATTCTGGTGGACCACTTTTTTTTTTTTTTTTTTTTTTTTTTTGGTGCCTCAGGATTCTGCTTGCAAGGAAGGCGACACCAGGCATGGCCTTGTACCTTCAGAACCACAAGCCAAATAAATTTTGGTTAAAATTTACTCCATTTGTAATGGCACCAGAAAAGGACTAATGTAATAACGAGGAATGAGGAATTTGTTTATTGTAAGGCATGAACAAACAAACAAGGCGAGGCAGAGACCACTTGACAGGCTTTTGTGAAAGCAGTGAGGCATATGGTTTAATACCTGCGTGCAGGCAGAGGGCGATAAGGCTATGTGTAGGAAACAAAGAGAAGCAGGCCTTTTCTTTGTAGGGATTGAAAGAAGGCAAGGGACATTAGGTAGGAAGATGTTAATAAACATCAGTGATCAGAGTTTTCTGGCTGTCTTGCACCTCAGTGGGCAAAGTCATTGAGGCATCCAGTGTAAATTTTCACATGTCTCCAGATATTCAGGGACCTGCAAGACAATGTCTGTGCTGGCAAACAGGTTGGGTGCTGGGAGAGGCTTGTCGGATTTGAGACTTACGTTTATAATAATTTTTTTCAGTTGAATTTTTTTGTCTTTCTCCTACCATTCTTCCTTTGGTTGAATCATAGACACTTAAAATGCTAGGCTTTTGAGAAAAGTGAATTTTTCTCATAGACTGAAAAAAATATTTTGTATATTGTTGTTTTTATCAGTGAATGGCCCCACTGACTACCCATTTAACTAATCCAGACACACAGACATATCATCTGTCAAGTCTCCTCCTACCTTTTTTGCCACTTCCGCCTATTTTGGGAGAGAGGTCTATTTGTCTTCATCCTTGTTAATGCCAATCCTTTCAGCCCTTCATTATACTTACTGACAATTCCTACAGTGGTCTCTGCATTTTAATTTTTTTTTTTTTTTTGGCAGTACTGGAGATTGAACCCAGAGCCCCGTAAATGCTATACATGCTATAGTAGTCTCTTAATTGATCTGTCTTTATTTTTAACATTACATTTCATTATTGAAAGACCTATATGATCTGCTGCAGGTTTGCTGCCTTGTTTCCATGTTTTGGAGTTTAAAATATATTTTTAAAAATCTGTTTTAGTATATCCAGTTGTGGCAATCAACTGGACTTGCTATACCTCCAGTTGAAGGAAATCTACTATGCCTTCACTAGAAGAACATGTTAAATTCTTCATAGTAGCTTTTAGAAAAGACTAATGTTTGGCCTCTTCCTCAGACCAATTTAAGCAGAATGGGAAGGGGTGAGAAGGAAGGTTATGTCAATATAAAAAATATTTCCAGGTAACTGAGTGGGCACCAACATTGAGATGCAGTGTTTGAAGCACATACCTCTTGCCACTGATTAGGCAAATAGTCATTTGACCCAGTTCCAGACAAAAAGAAACAAAAAGAGAAGGTCTTTGTAAGGTAATTTTTAAAACATTGTCCTGTATAGGTATGAACCTTGAAATTGTATAATAGCCATAGTAAAGGCTTACAAATGCAACCAACACTGGAGTGTAGGTAAAAGAAGTGGAAAGAAAACTGGTCCTTGATTATATCTCACATTTGGTGAATCAGTGAGCTTTGGAATCTATTATACCTCTGCACTTTGCATTACTTGAAAAAACTACATCCTTGGTGTTTTGGCTCTGAGATTAGATTTATAACTGGGAGCTTCCAAACTACCATAGCTAGTAAGAGGAGAACTTAGTGGTAAAATAACCACTGTTTACTATGATTTTCTAATATTTGCCTTATATAAATAATTATGGAATGAGCATATTGGTGTATGTATAATTATTTTCCCCAAAAATTGGATTTTATTTTGCTACTTGGGTTAGCATTAGCATGTCAGTACTTGGTATTATTATTGCTCTTGTTTAATATTTCCAACTTGTTTTCTGAAAAGATTTGTATCTATAATATTAGCAGTATTAAGTATTTTTATTTTATTCATTGGATTTTATTTTTTGCATTGTTACTTACGCATGGCCTGTTATTGTAATTTTCCAATTTCATTTCTTTTATTACTGAATTGGTTGATCATTCCTCTGTGTTTTTATGCATTAGCTTTATTTCTTTTTTAAGGAATAATCTAATCATTCTTTTGTACCATAATTTAGTAGCTGTGGAACTTGGGGGAGTTCTTACTAAAACAAAGGAATAATTAATGAGGTTTTGTGACAGATTGGTGTAAGACTAGAGTGAGATATTTTTCTGAAGATCTTTGAGTCCTTTTGTAATAATAGTCCTTTCTAAAATTTGCTGCAAATAACCTTAACATGTTTTGTCCACTTTTGTGGCATTATTTTACACAGACTTGCATTTGTGATATGACAGTCATAATTTAAATATAAGAATGAAATGCAGAAGAAAAGTGATGTGCATAGATATATAAGGTAGTATGGAAACAATATAAAATAACAAAAATACCATGATGGTAGCCTGAAAGCAGGAGACATTTTCCAAGATTTCTTTGTATCTTCATATTTATTATATATTTTTAAGCAGTTTGTTTAAGAGTGTTGTGTTATATGTGAAGGCTTTACTCTCAAGTCATAGGTATAAATGCAGATGCCATTTTAAAAGAAGATAGAAAATTGAGCAGATTAAAAAGCATAAAGTATATAAGCTTATTAAAATTGATTTCATTTTATTTTCTTCCAGAAGCATGATCAGGGGCAAGTTCTGTTGGATATAGTCTTTAAGCATCTTGATTTGACTGAGCGAGACTATTTTGGTTTGCAGTTGGCTGATGATTCCACAGATAACCCAGTAAGTTTAAGCTGTTCTCTTTCATTTTAGTTTTTTTCTGTTCATGATTTAATGTTCACTAATTTAATGAGTTTTAAATTTTTATTTGAATAATAATTCTTTTGCCTTTATTCTCCTTTTCTTGATGTTTTAATCTACGAGAGGTTATTGCCTGTAAGATTTTCATAATTACAAGTCAATCTATAATCTAGTGCTAGTTTCATTATGTATTTCAGAAAACTGAAAGATAAGTATAATTCATCTCACTTGAATTAAAGAGAGAAAATTGGGTCATTAAGATTAAAATATTTTGGCAGGATGTGGTAGTACATGCCTATAATCCCAGCACTAGGGAGGCTGAGGCAGAAGGTTTGCTGTGAGTTCAAGACCAACCTAGACTACATAGCAAGAACCTATCTCAAAAATAAAAAAGATTAAAATATTTTGAGATACATAAGGTAATCTACACTAAAGTCAGATTAGCTTTTTGCAGCATTCATGGAGAACTATTTCTAACCAAAGTGTTAGTGTAAATTTTTTATGTAGTGATATTCAAAATAGACCCTCTCAAAAAACATGGACATTAAAATTCAGAGATGCACAAATCTGAAGTGTTAAATTCCTTGGATTTTTACTTACTACTCAGTAGCTGCAATCATGTTCTTTTTGATAAGAAACATCAGACTGTAGAAGATAGCATGATGATGGTAAAGATGTTTTTACCTAGACGATTAAGCATTATAAAATGCAAAAAGAAATATACCTTATCATGAACCTGGTGGTGTTTGTTATGAAAGCTGTACTAACAAATTGTGGTTAAATTCTTTATAAATTTAAGCCCCTATACCATGAGGGGCTTTTGTGAAAACATATTCAAGGGAGTCCATTTTGAAAGAAATATTTTGTAGAGTTTAGAAAAACAGGGAGGATATTGGAATGGTTTTCTGGATCTGTGTTTTAGAAAGCCACTTACAAGGCTATATTAAAAGAATGGCTATAGAAAATATATATAACATTTATAAAACAAATTATTTTTTGTTTGTTGCTTTTCTCTCATGGTTGACATCCTAGTTTTCTGAATGAATATTAGTAGGAAGTAAATATGAAATGTTAAATACTACCACTTACTTTCTTGGGATCTTTTAGTAATTTTGCATTACAAACGAACAGAGGACAAATATGAAGATGATGTGAATAAAAACAAACTGAGTGAAGTGAAAATAAAGTCTCAGTGAAAATAAATGCTTTTATACCATACTAAAATTGAAATAAAATTTTCTCATACTTCCATGTCTTTCCCGGCTGACTTGAGCTTCTGAAACAGCCCATATTTTGCTGTTATTTCTTAATAAATAAACCCGTGTAAAAATGGAAGTGAAAGCCAGGTGTGGTGGGTTCATGCCTGTAATCTAAGCACTGTGTGGAGGCTGAGGCAGGAGTATCACTGGGAATTTGAGGCCAGCCTAGGGATACATAGTGACTTCAAGGCCATCCTGAACTAAACTAGTGAGGTCCTGTCTTAGAACAAACAAACAAATAAAAGTGAGTAGACATCTTAGTAATGCATCTTTTGCCAAAAAGTCAAATTGTGAACCAAGCAAATACCAGAAAGATGTCTGCTACCCCTCACAATGTGCTGCACCTGGAATAAAAATAGATTAATTCTTGGATTATTTTGCTGACCCTTATAGGCTGAGAGCCCTTTGCCCAGGACTATAACTGTAGTCCTGACCTCAGATTGATTGGAGAAGTGACAAGGTAACAAAACAGGAAGAGATACTCATCCACTGGGAGCCTCTGCCAACGGCATGCAAACCGTTATTCCTGAGATAATATTCCAAAAGGACTAATACTGAGGTCACATAAAAGATAAAACTTTTATCACATAGGTTTGTATACAAGAAGACATTTCTGTTTTAAATCTAATTATGCCAGAATGAATGTATGGAAGCAAAAACATTTTGAAGTATGTAGGTGTTTTTTTGCTATATTCCTTACTTTCTCTTTGTCTCTTGAGCATTACTTCTCAAATGGGATATATTTCTTGGTTTACGGGTCTAGTTGCTTATGTTCTAAAATTAATTGTTGTTGAAAATTTAAAATCATAAAATTTGAAAGAACTAAACAAGGCTTTAGAGATTATATAACCTAACATTCATTTTTCATGAGAGAATTCCAAGGAAATAAAGCCTGAACTACTTTTTGGCATTACTGAAACCAGGACTGGAATCACCAAATTCCCTGTGATAGTTTTTTCCATTGGACTGTAATTTCAGTACTTACAGATTTAGAAGAATCTGTGAATGCCAAAATGTGTCCAAAGAAGAGCCCAAGAGAACAAATCTTACAAGTAATATATTATTTCTAGTTGTCAATATGAAATTATATTAAGGTTTTGAAGGATAATTGAAAGAAAGGGATGCCGTTCTTCAAAAGGTAAAGGTGTAAGGGAGTAACATTTATGAAATATCATTTAGTCTCCACATTCATGATAAAAATTTTCTTTCAAAGATGAAAAGTTAGCACTTCACAGGTGAACTAATTTGTTTAATGAGCTATAGTTACATAGCTGAGAAAGGATTTGAACTTCCACCTGACTCCACAGTCTGTGTTCTATCTGTCCCACAAAGTTGCTTTCTAAGAGATAGTGGCAGAAATGTACAGTATTTCCTCCCCTCAAAAAAATCCAGACATATTAAGGAAGGGTGGTAACACGTAACATAATTACCATCAGTTCTCAAAAGGAATATGGTAACATGATGAAAGAATTTTCATGACTTTAGTTCAGCGTTTTTTAATCTTAAAATTTACCCATATTATATATACTATGTGTATGTATGTATATGTGTTATGTATGTATATGTGCTTTACGTGTATTAGTTTTGGAAGATCAGAACTAATATTGCCATTTGCACACAGGCATTGAAATTAGTTTAATTATAATTAGTTTAATTAAGAAACTGAAAAGGTACTCAGGTTTTTGTTTTTGCCTCACAAGTAACAAATATAGAAGCATTGTTATCTTCTTCTTTAGAATCTTCCTTAATAAGTTCTAATGGAATAGTTAGGGAAAAAGCTTTGACTTTTAGACATTTCTCATACTTTAAAAGTTAAGCTTAGATTTTAGCATAATATTGTTAGAATAGTCATTTTTAATAAATGTATGTTCAGTGAGTGAAGAAAATAATGAATGAGGTGATTGTGATTCATTATACAGCAGTTAAAGGTGTTTTTTCCTTATTGGTTGTATCGGCCAGCTTTCCTATTCCTGTACAGAATACACTTGCAATTTAAGGAAGAGGGGTTTATTTGGCTCAGAGTTTCAGAACATTCAGAGTATGATCATCTGGCTTCAAGGCATGAATATCATTGCAGAAAGGCATGGTAGAGCTGCTCAGTTCATGGCTTCCAAAAAGCAGAGCAAGAGAACAATGCCAGAGAGAAGAGACCAGGTACAAAATATATATCCCAAGACGACACTTCTATCACTCATCTAGACACACAAAGAATTGTGTTGTTCTAATCCCCAGGCAGCTCCCAAGCAATCAAGTTGAAAATGAAACCATTGCATTCCACCCCTTTTTATCTTGACATCACAACCCATCTCCTAAAACCATAACTCCAAATAAAGGTAATAAGAAGTTCAAAATTGCACCTAAATTGATACAACTATCTTGTATACAAGATGCAATAATGCCTTCCACCAAAGTCTTAGCAGTTCTACCTTTGCTCATAAGTCCAAATGTATAGTCTTCTCTGAGACTGAAGACGAACTAGCCTCCAGAAGACATGGTGATGAGGTGTGAGTTCTAGAGGGTTTAGGTGGCATGGCCCTATAGCCTTGTCATTTGCAAATTACCTGGCTTCTCTTGGTATAGGTCTACCTTAATCTTTCCAGCTTTTGTTGTTGGACATTCAATGTTCTTGGCATCTCTAACTTCCTGGGATCTCTAGTAAACCTTCAGCTTTGTTCCCACAGCTTCATACATCTACCCATTGGGTACATTGCCTAGCCTCCCAGACCTTCCTTTCTTTTTTTTTTTTTTTTTTTTTTGGTTTTTCTCCAGTACCGGGAACCGAACTCACGACCTTTCGCTTGCCAGGAAGGCGCTTTGCCACTGAGCTAAATCCCCAGCCCCTCAGACCTTCCTTTCAAATCTGGATAAAAGCCTACAAGACCCAACAGCTCTTGCATTCTGCATCCCTAAACAACCAGCATTCCTGGACTATGCCAGGTTCTGTCAGCAGCTCAATCAGTAAGCAAGACTCCTTGAACCATGGCTGCAGTGGCCTATGAGTACCTGAATAGCTAAACCATGGTGAAATGAATTCCAGAATGTAGGGAACCTCATTGGTCTGTCATTGTGCCCTAGAGAGAAACAGCAGTGGATATGAGGAAAATAAGGACAAGAGACAAGAGCTGGGTCAGGTGGAGTTACCTCTTACCTGATGGGCAAGAGGACTGACTTCAACAGTAGGGGCGTTTATTTTATATTCTTGCAAAGTTAGTATCATGGGGGGGTGTTGCCTAGCAACTAATGACTGTAACTGTCCAGGCAGAATGCTTTTTTCAATACTGAGGTAGCTTGACTGCTTGAGGCACTCTGGCTCTGTCCTGCCCTCACACATATGACCAATATCCAACTCCAGCAGCTCCCAACGTATCTCCCTTTTCTGTTTAGTTGAAGAAGTGATGGTTGTTCAGTTGAAGCTGGAAAAGCTGTGCTTGAAGAATATAATCCAAAGTCCATAACAGTGGTCAGTTATCAGTCTAGCTGGCAATAGTCAGAGATTGTTGGTGACTTGAACCTGTTACAGCTAACCTATTACTGTGACATTGCTTTTATACATCTTGTGATTACTCTTTTCTGATTAATGTTTAAGACCAAATTAAAGTGAGACCTGTATAAATAAAAACTTAACTTTTTGGTATCTATCAAGGTCAGTTAAGTCTCAGGAATCACCTTGGAACCAAGTACAGCACCTCTAGACCTTCTGTCAGAGTCATGGCCAGTGATTAAGTTACTTTCTCTGAAAGCTTGAGAGATTTTTTTCTCTTCTGGTGACTCTCCTTAAGCACACTATACATCATGGAATCACTTTCCTCTGTGGTTCCATAATCTTGATCAGAAAATCAGGGACTCAAAAGAGTTACAGGACATCACAGCAGAGGTTCTCATATGTCCTGAGTCTTTCTTGACCTTGGAGACTGTGGCCAAAATATTGGCTGTCTTCTTAGCCCAATTTATCTCTCTAATTTTTGGTCTCCAAACCTCAGTTGTTAAACATTCAGAAGAGAAAATTAATGACATAACATTGTAATAGAGGCAATAAGCTTAATATTACTATCTGATCTGAATAGCAAACACCTTAGAACATAAAAATGGAACTGTTATTTTCTAACAACCATGGATATTCTAATATTTAAATCCTCATCCCTTAATTGTTATCTGTTACATATTTTTACACGGAAATTTAGAAATCAAAACCATGCATAACATTGCTACATGACAGTCATCATGCGATTTTGTAACATACTTATTAAATTTTCATTTTGACATAACATTAGCCTTTTAACCAGTTATCTCTATCTTATACATAAGAAGCTTTTACCTAATTTGTTGTCCTTTAATGGGATATACATCACAAGTTTTTGTCAAAGTCAGAGGTCTGAATCCGAAGGAGAGTTTTATCACAATAAACAATCTTTGCTTTTGGAATCATGAATACATTTAACACACCATGAGATTAACAATAATGAATTACCATACACATGTGAAAATCTTTGTTTTTAATTTAGTTTTGTACCAAGAGCATCTTTTTTGAGAAAACCTTATTGTAATTTTTACTGAAAACTTTCTTTTGACCAAATGATCAAATTATTGGGGTGTCTCCCAACAGACTGTTGAGATCACTGGGGGCTCCTATTAAAGGTTGGCCACCCCTGTATTCACCAGTTGCAGTCCTGCCCAATAATATCTCCCCACTCTAAGGAATTTTTGTTAATTATCCTAAAATTTTTTGAACTGCGAGAAAGCCAATTTTGACATCATATAAACCAGCTGGTAAGTCAGGTGAAAGCATACTTTTAAGTCTATTACCCAAATTGTATTATGAACAAATGATAAAAGAAAAATAGTTGCGCTAAAGGGGAACAGCTGTTCACAGAATGACAAACACATAAACAGGTACACAGCACAAATGAACAAACATCTTTACAAAATCAAAGTGCACTCAAATATATTTTTGACCAAATTGAATTATAGTAACTCTATTACAGTTTTAGAAATTTATAATTTCAGTAGACTAGTCAGATTTTGTTGTCAATTAGCAGAGGTCTCTTATCAGAAAAATTTTGGAAGGATTAGAACTTTTTATCTATAATGAATATGCATATTTTGTATTTTATTTTGTCTTAAGAATACTGGTAATAGGGGCTGGGGATTTAGCTCAGCGGCAAAAGCGCCTGCCTGGCAAGCGCAAGGTCGTGAGTTCCGTTCCCGGTACCGGAGAAAAACCAAAAAAAAAAAAAAAAGAAGAATACTGGTAACTTTTCAGCTTAATTATTTCTATATACTCTGTCATTTATTTAGTCTCAGAGGCATCACTGTCACAGGACTGCACATTAGCTCTCTGAAAGGTAGAACTAACTTTTTCTCCAGATCTGAGTTTATGATACAGTCAAACAGCATGCTCTAGCAAAACACAAACATACTCTAGACCCCAAATTAGTTTTTTTTGGCTTTACCTGATTGAATTGTCTATCTTCTGTTGTACTTCCATCTTTTGTAAAATTCTAAAAATTTTACTAGACTTTCATTTTCTGTACACTTTCAAAGAAATTAATTATCAGGACATTTTAGGATCCCTCTTAAAAGGATCAGTGTAATGTCTAGCAGTAAACACACTAAGACTATTGGGATGTACTTGAAAAAGGTCATTTAACTTAGTTTGGCTAGCTAAATTAATTACCTCTAAAAGTTTCAAAGCATAAAATGTGCATCTCTCCATAAGATGGACTCTAATTGCAGGATCATGTTGATGTGAGAGGGAATCGTCTCCCACTTAGCTACTTGCTAGAGCCATTATGTTATAATAAACCACTCATACCTGGACACACCTTGGCAGGTGTCAATAGTAAGCAACAGCTTACTGCTTTATTGTCTGGTGCAGCACCTGGGGCATGAAGTCCTGCAGGAAGCCACAGAGCTCGTGGAACAGACCCTTTACATCCCCTCTGCCTCGGAGAGGCTTGCTATGAAGGTAATGAGGGACTTAGCCCTTTCTCCCTGCTCCCCGTCACTGCTGCCAGGTCCCACCAGCTTCTGGGTCACCTGGGCCTCAGTCGCCAACCATTCAGCCCCTGTATCACCCTGCTGGCCCTGCTGTTGCCCTTGCCGCATGTAGTGCCACAGAGTGCAATGCCAGATAGCACGGCCAGGCTGGCACTGGGTGGCCCTATCCTTCCTCCCTGGGGCCCGGGCACCAGCTAGCCACCACTGGCAGGTCCCCTGGCTGTCGGGGGCTTCTCTTGCCCCATTTCAAGGTCAACTTGCTGGCCTCCACAACTGTCTCCTCCTTTGTCTCTTGACGAAGGTTTCCTGCATGTCCCCACAGCTCCTCATCCCCATCCTTGCCGCCCTCCCCATACCCATCTAGCTTTACTCTTTTGCCAGCTTTTCCCTGGTGGCCTCCTCCATCCCTGTCCTGGGCCTTGGCCTTTTTGTGCCCTGTTCTGTCTGGCACCCCAGTGCATCCTGTAGCACCCAGAGCAGAGCAGCAGTGAGCTCAGTGAAGGGTGCTGTGGAGGGAGGGGAGAATGGGAGTGGCTGTAAGCAGGGAGGTGGGAGGACGTGGCTGTCTAAGAGGCAACAGCCCCGTCACAGCCTTGGGCAGAGCAGCTCTGACATTTCAGGCTCTGGCAGTAACTGGCTGTAGCTTCCATTTTATCTCCTTGATGTGGAGAGAGTTGCTGGCAGGGCCCCAACAGTCCAGCTTTATTTTGGGGAACGGGCTCCACTGCCTGTACCCGCCACCCCCACCCCCCGACAAGTGGCTCTATGGTTACTGCCTCTGTATCCACAGGATGTGCCCAGCCACTATGTGCTGGCCATTGCTTTTGTTCTGGCTGCCAGATACTCTATTTTTGTCTGGACTCCCAGCACTCCTACCGTCATAGGGCAGGTGCCTGCTCCTGCATCTCTCACACAGGTCTTGACAATGGGAATGTTTGGAGTCCACACAGCAAAGTCTTACTGGGCACAAACATTTAGTTGTTTACAACTTTGGCAGATGATATCCTTTGTAAAGGTTGTAAGATTTTTGACACGTTCTGCAAAACTGTTTAAAATAAACCTTGTCTGTGCCCTGGATACACCAAACAAATGAACTCTCCCACCAGATGTTGCAGTCCTTGCAGTGATAATAGCCATATTTCTGCTGGAAGTGCAAGTGCTTCTTGCTTGGCTTGGCACCTGGTGGTGACTTTTCCTGTGGTTGTGTCTCCACTGTTCTTAGCCCTCCCGCCTGCCAGGGGCTACCCCAGCTTCTGTAGTGCGGGCTATGGGGCTGCCTAGCCACTATGAGCCTCCTGTTGTTCCTGCCTGGCCCTTGGCAGTAAGGACACCTTCCTTGCTGCCCCCTCATTCTCCTCTGGTGCCACAGGGCCTTGCATGCTCACCGGGGCCTCCTCCAGGCAGCTGGTGAGGCAATGGGAACACACAGCAAGCATCCAGCAAAGGAGCTTAGGAAGTGCTCAGAGGCAGCCAGGACTCGTGGGTCGTGGGCCCTGTGAGGCAGCATCTGCTGCCAGAGCACACAGTGTACCTATGCATCACATTGCTGGTTCACTTGCACCCCCATATCATGGCAGCTGGGCCTGCAGGGGCCTGGCCCAGAGACTGGGCTCATGTGGGACAGGAGCTTGGTAGAGGAGGAGAATGAGGTAGGAGAGTGTTCGCAGCTGCAGAGCTGCCAACCATCAGTGACCTTGGCGTCCAGCCAGTAGTAGAAGAGAAAGGAGGGAGTGTAAGCCAGGTACCTGAATGCACCTAGGACCTCGTTCCCTATTGCAGCCATCTGAGCAGCCCCCATTATTTGATGGGGCTGAGGCAATCTCCAATGAGGGTTTCACAGAAAGGGTAGACTTTTCCCAGCAGTTCTAGATCAATACTGATTATTCCAGTGATACCCTTGTTGATACTTAGTACAAGGACTGAAAGGTTTAGTTACAGATAATGACTGTGATGCCCGTATAGGTGTAGCAGAGCAGTTCTGGACAAGATGCCCCTTATATCCACAATGAAAACAAACATCCTTGTTTTTTCCCTTTCCTCCAGACTGTGGATGAATAACCTGAGTAATAGCTGCTGCCAAGGTAGCCCCCTATACATATGAGGGGCAGTATCTGCAGAGATCCAGACCATCTCCAGCAATGTGGCCCACCTTTTATGGGCTCTTAAAGTTTCTTTATACCATTTATTTGCATTTTCAAAGGCTAGCTGCTGAAATACTAGTTTGTTAGCTTCTCTGTTATTTATAATCTTCTCACTAGCCTGTAATAATCATGCTGCAAAGTCTTGAAAAGACTTCCTTAGAAGAAGAAGGAAGTTCCCGCCAAGTCCTCACTGCAGCCTTGTTGGTTTGCTGTATATTTGCAAGTCATAGCTAAGTTGATTGTGGTAGCAAAGGCACCTTCTCCAATTAGCATATCTTTTGTAATAGCTATATTGCAAATAGCCATTCAAAGCTCTTTGGTTAGTGTAATATTCAAGAAAGTTTCCTTTCCACATCAGTTAGTCCTCTGGACTTAAACATGCTTTAGCTATTCCTTTCCAATCATTTGGAGCCATAGTCTGTTGTCTTAGAATTTCCAATGAACTCAAAGTAAAGGAAGCAGTAGGGCCATAAGTAGCAACTGCTTGTTTTAATTCTTTTAAGGTTTTAAAAGGTATAGCTTCATAATAACATATAACTTGTCCTGGGTTTTCAGGGACTTCAACTTCAGTAACAGGGTAGATGTGTTGAAAACCCTCCATGGGCTCCCCTGCCTGTCTGGCTTCTTTTGTTTTAGTTTTTTTGGTGGG